TTTGCCACTAGCTTTGGGCAAGTCACTTCACTTTTCTTATATGTGCAAGAGGGTTGAACTCTCTGGGATGAGCTCTGACATTAAGTACTGACTTGCTTTTAGTAGCTTGAAGGAGAAAAGGCTCAAATCCTTCTAGAACTGCTCCTTTGTTGAATAAATCATAAGGCTAGATAATCTTGATGGATAGAGTTCTTGCAACAACTTGAATCGTGGCTAGTTTTCTCTTTAATTCTAAGAGCAGGAAGATAGAATGTCTAAAAGTGTAGAAAGTATGTTCTGCATTGTTCACAGTTGTTTAAAAAAAATGAACTATAACAGTTCAGGTACAGGTGCAATAGTGAGACCTGTAGTCCCAATAAATTAGAAGTAGTTGAATCTTAGCGAGATTAGGAATCTTTGTGGCCTGCTTCAGAAATATTTATTTTGCCAGAATATTGTGGTTTTGTGAAAATGGCAGCAGCCTCTGAGTCATGGGTTTGACTTTCAGTTCTGCCGTTTTTACTGTCTGTGTGACATGGGCAAATCACTTACCTTTTGGTGCCCATGTCTTCATCCATAAAATGAGGGTATGAAACTGTTTTATCTTGAGAAGTACTTTCCCCTTTTAAGGCCTCGAATCCTGTGCCTTGGATATTTAGTAGAATGAAAAGCTTTGAAAATTTTTATTCAACTGTATGAAAGAATTAGAGCTTGTTACATAATTTTATACTGGTTTCCGTATTATTGATAGCTTGCTGGTGTATGTGTATGCATGTTTGTACGTCAAATTAACTTCAGTCACAACAGTGGTAGTGTACACAGTTGACGTTGACTTTCTACCTCATTACTTAATAGAATTTAATAATAATGTAAAAGTTTTTTCATTTCTGCCAATGAAAATTAAACACTTTCTCCTGTTTTTAAATTCATATTGTTAGTTTAAATAATATATTTCTAAGTCATTGTTAAAGAATTCACTCTTTTAAAACATTGCTTCTTTTTAGTCTTTCCTCTTGCCTTACTGATGTTTTTTGATCATTGTGTCTGTCACCACATATCTAACTACCGGGAATTTTTCTCCAACCCATTATTATTATTATTTTTTTAATTAGGAGAGAGGATCACCTTTGAATGAAGTGTGTTCCAAAGGGATATGAATGCTGCTTTGTAAAACAGAACTGTTTTCAACAAGGCAGAATAATCAAGAACACAGTATCAAAATATGTCTTTGAAACGGAACCCTAGAGTCTTATATAGCAGAGGAGACTGCCTCTGTAGATCAACAGATTGAGAAATATGACATTAAATCTGGTTGATAGTAGATGGCTGTGAGATAATTGGGTAGTCAGACCATTGAACCAGGAATCAAGTGACCTAATGACAAATGTCACAAGTCTTGTGTGACTTTCGGTCACGTATATACAAATACAATGTACTAAAAGTCACTTGATCATTTTGTGCTGCTGATTTTCCATCTTTAACATAGGAATAATCCGGCCACCTGGTTACTTAACTTGGAAGGAGATGGGATGATGCACGTAATAGATGAACTCTTTAGAGAAAGAATGTCCATTTAATTGGAATCACACCACCAAGGCATACTTTGCATTGTTTATCAAGAAAGCAAACTAATTATCCCCTTATAATATTGTTCATGCCAAACTTTTTCTCTCTCTCTTTTTTTTTGTGAGGCAATCGGGGTTAAGTGACTTGCCCAAGGTCACACAGCTAGTATGTGTCAAGTGTTTGGTCTGAGGCTGGATTTGAACTCAGGTCCTCCTGACTTCAGGGCCGGTGCTCTATCCACTGCACCACCTAGCTGCCCCCATGCCAAACTTTTAAAGATATAGATTTAACTAGTCTCCAGAACCATTGGAATTCAAATAATATGTGAATTAAAAACCATTCTTATTTTATTCATAATGCAGTTTCCCCAAGGACCTGCATCCTAGGCCACACAATATGTAGGTAGTCATCAAGCTTTGAATACTTGACTTGCATATTTATTATACACACTAATAACAGATGCCTTCCCATCTCCTGAGCCAGCCTTTCCCCTGACTGCTGTGATGGCTTCCAACCCAAAGGCCTTCCCTGCTGTCTGAGGCCAGCAGCGTCAACTCATAGCCAGGTCCAACCTCCTTTCTTGTCCTGTCTGGAATGTGTCTACACATGTCTCATAGCAAATTCTTTAAAGAAATTTAGAGATTAATCTAGAAATTGGATTCTCCAAATGGTTAAATGGTTTGTTTGCTTACCTCCCATTTTTTTCTGTCTTTAGTACTCACAGTTTAATTATACTTTGAACAAGCTCTCAGGATGCAGCATTCTCCCTAGTCACCTTTTCTAGAGGAGGTGATGTTATAGTTTGGAAGGAGCTCTGTGCTCAGGCAGGCTACTGTTAACTATTTGTGTGACTTTGGGTTAGTTACTTTACTCTCTGAGCCTAAGCTTCCTTTTGCATGTAATAACGATGTTGCAGTAATCTGGTATTTATGGTCTGGTTCTAGTCATTTTAAGAAAACTCACTTGTATCTCCTTCTACTTTATTCTATTTGTCTTATTCCATTTGTGAGCCCTTCAGATCTCAAGGTCTTAATCATGACTGATAAACATAATAGTAGTTCTAGTGATACATTTTTATCAAGGAAAAAGGAAAGCTTCATGTTTTGAAGTCAAATTAGAGGTAATAAAAATTGCTGTTATCGTGCCTTAAACAGAAGTCCCTCTTAGAACCTCCACAAAAGTCTCCATTCATATCTCTCTCTCTCTCTCTCTCTCTCTCTCTTCTGTAATTAAACCTTCATTTCTTGTGGAAATATGTTTAATATGATTGTACATGTGTAGTCTATGTCAATTGCATGCCATCTTGGAAAGGGAAGGGAGGGGGAGAAAATTTAGAACTCAAAATACTATAAAAGTGAATTCTGAAAGCTAAAAAATAAATACAATTTTAAAGACTAAAAATAAATAAAAATTTTTAAAAACCTCCATTTCCTCAATCAGTGGCATTTAAGATCATGTCAAGACAACCAACGTTTACTAAGTTCCCATTATGTGCCTGGCACTGGGGTAAGCTCTGAAAAAAAGAAAGACAAAACCATGCAAACATGTAACTAAAAGATAAATAAAAATACCACTTTCAATTATGTTTTCTCTATTTTATTTAAAGTATATCATCAGTATTATTTTTTTCTATGGCAAATCTATGGTATAGCAACTGCATTATGGTTAAAAACTCAACCACTGTTTTTTTCAATGGAACTAACCAGTGAACTTTTGGAACCCAGTCCTTTCATAAATTGGAGATTGCGCTATATTTGGAAGATTTGTTTCAGCCTTATTATATTTAGAATACATTTCTTAATTTAAATACACATTCATAATTTAGACTTGAATACAGATTGGCCTTTTCCCCACTTGATTTGAACTAATAAAATTTTATTTCATTTTTATTTGTTTTGGCCTTTTATTTGGAGAGGAAAGGAAAAGATAAAATAGGGAGAATTTTTGCCACCCAGGGAGAAATCAGCGGAGCTGTCTTGAGCAGAATGCTTTTAAACTCAGAACCTACCTTATATTTAGCAATTATGTTGGGTCATTGTTGAGTGCTGCCAGGGGATGAGGGGTTAAAACATGAAAAAGAAGCACACGTTGACAATACTGTACATGTCCCTAGAAACCTCATACTGTAATTGTGTGGAATGCCATCTTGGGCTTGCCTCGTAATCACTACAGTTTACTTGTGTTCTTCTTTAGTTAGTGTGTGCCCCTTCTTCCATCTCCCCTTATGATTTATCCCTTCCTCGAGGTCTGTCTCTCTTGGATCTCTCAGGGGTTTCCTGCTTGCTATTGGTATAGCAGGTATGCTCTCTATTGTCAAAAGGATCTTTTAAAATTGTTGAAATTAGTCTTTCCTTCACTACCCCTAAAGTCCAGGATTGGGGTTTTTGAGAAAACAGAGTGTATCTGTGATCCCACCCGCACATGCTCATTTCTGAGAGAAAGGTTTTAGGAGTCCCTAAGATACCTACCAGTAAGAGAGGCGGAAAGGAAAAGTAGGTATAACCCTCTCTTCACTTGTATTTTTTCCTCACTCTTCTCTCCCTTCCCCCACTAGAATTGTATAGTGGTACACACTGGGCTGAACTATAGAGACTACATGCTAGAAAGTTCATAAATCCTTATGAATTTCTAACTGGTAGAATGTTCCCCCCCCCACTTAATAGTATTTTTTTTCCAATTACATGTAAAGATAATTTTCAACATTCACAGATTTTGAATTCCAAATTTTTCTCCCTCCCCCCAACACCGCAAGCAGTCTGATATAGGTCATATATGCATAAACGTATTGATCATATTTCCACATTAGTCATGTTATGAAAGAAAAATCAGAACAAAAGGGAAAACCATGAGAAAGAAAAAAACAAAAATGAAAATAGTATGCTTGGATCTGCATTCAGACTCCATCGTTCTTTTTCTGGATGGGAACAGCTTCTTCCATCACAAGTCTTTTGGAATTGTCTTCAAGCATTGTATTGCTGAGAAGAGCTAAGTCTCTCAGAGTTGATCATTGCACGGTGTTGCTGTTACTTTGTACAGTGTTCTTCTGGTTCCACTCCCTTCACTCGTCATTAGTTCATGGAAGTCTTTACTGGTAGAATATATTGAGGAGATACTTTTATTCAACTTTCTCTCTTCCTGACTAGTCTTTCAATGAACAAAATAGATTCAGTTATTGTAGCAGCCACACTGACCGACTGACTCACCCACTCACCCCCCCCCCCCACCTTCCTTCAGTTTTTCAAAAGCCTCAAAATAAAACTACATCATCTTGTGCAGTAGGGGAGAGTGGGTGGGTTGGCATAGTAGGCACATTGGATGTTTGGAACCTTGGAAACAGGACAGGGACTAGGGAAGGACCACTGTTTGTAGTTAATTTATAGTGCTTTCACAGATTCCATTGTTTGGAAAAATGTATGAAATGGCATAGTAAAACCCTTTTCTTTATGATGTTGCAGGCACGGGATGTGCGCACCAATGAAGTGGTGGCCATCAAGAAGATGTCTTACAGTGGAAAGCAGTCCAATGAGGTATGTGAATTTATATTTATGCTAAACTCTGACAAGGGATTGATCAGGAAGGGATATCCTGGGGATGCTCACATAATTTGCTTAACCTAGTTTTCAAAGGCTGGAATACTGCAGAATAACCTGATAACGTAATGAAAAGAACCCTGAATTTGGGGTTAGGGTGCAGTCTGTGCTTTCAGCTCTGCAGCTTTGTATGGTTTGGGTTAAGTTACTCAACCTCTATGGGCCTGAGTTTCCTCCTCTGACAAAGAGAGTTGCACTAGGTGACCTCCACGGCCCCTCTCAGCCCTCACTGTGATTTAATGATCCTATAAGCACACTGACCTAGAATATCTTTTGAATTTCCTGTTTTTCTTGATGGCTCAGCTAGTACTGTGAGGTTACCTTAGGGTCACCCACGTGAATAGTCACTCACTGTACTGCCAGTGGAACACTGTGTATAGTCATAGACAATCCCCATTGATAGAAGGAAGGCGGCCTGATAAGTAAGCTCTTATTGTAACGTTAAAAATGGGCAAATAGTTGCTATCTTAGTTACTTGGTAGTAAGACAAACACATTTCAAAATTAATGAAGACCAAAAAAAATTAATGAAGGCAAATGGGCAATCTGCCTCCATTTCCTTAATTTAAAACCCACTGACTCCTTCAAACCCTTTCACTCTGACTTCTCTTTCCACCACTGCTCTACTGAAACTATTCTCCCTGACATTGTTAATTACTTCCTTATAGCCCATTTGACCCTATGAACTAACCACTCCTTGATATTCTAGCCTCCTTTGACTTCCGTGACATGGCACAAATGTATTTCTCTGCGTAGCTCTTTTTTTCTTCTTTGGCTTCTCATCTTCTTCCTGCTCTTGACAAAGTTGTCTTTGAAGGCTTTGCCCTTGCCCTCTTACGTCTCTTAAAAAAATAGTAAAATAAATTTCATTGATATCTTTACTTTTATACCGCAGTTTTAGTTTTAGGCAAGCCTCATCTTACCACCCATCAATCAAATCTTCCTTTGTAAAAAGAAAAATAGTTAAGCAAAACCCAGTAAGGCTGACAACGTGGTCCAGTGGGTAAAACACTGGATTTGGAGTTAAAAGAACCCCAACTTGAATCCTGTCTTGACCACTTGCTACCTGTGTGAGCTTGGGCAAGTCACTGCGTTTCCTTGGGCTTCTGTATTCTCATCCATGAAGGTGAGGGAGTTGAACTTGATTGGCCTGTAATGTCTCTTTCAATTGTAATTTTTTTACCTCATGACTGTGTCTGAGATCTCTGTCTCTCTCTGTGTCTTTCTTTATTCTGTCTTCTGTTCAGAGTTTGGCTTTTTATTATTCTTTTCATTTACATTTTTGTTGTCTTTGTGTGTATGTGTATATTTCTTATTTCAGTCTTGATCAGTTCATGTTTCTCAGAATTCCTCATGTTTGTAATTTCTTGTTACATAATAATATTTCATTACATTTATTTGCCACAATTCATTCAGCCTTTTCCCAGTCTGTGGGAACGCACTTTATTTGGGGTTTTTTACTGCCACAGAAAGTGGTATATATTGTTCCTTCCCTTCTTTCTTTGATTTAATAGAGGATGTATGCTAAGTAGTGGAATTGGTGGGTTACAGGGTCCAAAGAGGTTCATCACTTTTCTGACAAAATTCCTTTTATTTTCCAAGATGGTTGGACCAATTCACAGCCCCACCAACAGTTCATTAGTGTTCCTGTCTCACCATATCCCCTCCAGCATGGACTGTTTCAACTTTGTTGCTTTTATCAACTTGCTGGGCAAGAAGTGAAATCACAGATTTGTTTTGATTTGCATTTCTCTTTATATTCATGATTTGGAGCATATTTTCATATAGCCTTTGATTGCATTTCTTTTTTTACACACTGTTCCTATCCTTTGACTATTTATCTATTGGAGATTTATCCCCTCTTTCTCTCTCCCCTCTCTCCTACTATCCCCAGCCTTGTACATTCTAAATACCTAATTAAATGCTAATTTGAATTTAGCTCATTCACTTCCAGGGCTTAATTTTTACCCTCTGTTCAGATGACTCCCAAATCTCTCTTTCCCATAGACCTCTCCCCAGAGATCTATTCCTATATTTCTATCTGCCAAATAGATATGGCTTTACCAAGATTTGTTGCTCACCTCAAACTGGTCATTTCTAAAATTGAACTCATGGTTGACCCCCAAAACAAAACAAAAACTCTATCTCTTCCCCAATTTTTAATGCCACTACTACCAATTCATCCATTTGACCTGACCTGAAACTTCAAAGTAATCTTTGACACATTGTCACCTTAAATATCTAGTTAGTTGCTTGATCCTCTGTATTATGTCTTAGGTTCATCCTTTCTGCTTCCACTGTAGCCTCCCTATTTCAGACCCCCTCCTATTTTCTTAAGCTGGATTTTTGTATCAGCCTTCTAACTGGTCTTCCTGTCTTTAGTCTTTACTTTCTTCAGTCTTTTATGTTACTGTCTTTGTGACTTTTCAAAGGCATTATTTAGGCCACTCCTACTCAGAACCCTTCCATGACTTCCAATTGCCTAATAAATATTATAAAATAAAATAATTCATAACCTGTCTTTCACCACCCTCCACAGTGTAGTGTCCTATCTTTCCAGTCTCCCCTTCTCATTGCTTGTACTTTCTTGTACTGCACTTTCCAGTCAAATTAAACTGTTTACTCAACGTCCTTTGTTCTCTGCCTGTGCTTCTTTCTGCCTTATACCATCCCCTGTGCCTGGTATTGACCTTCCCCTTTACCTCACTCCCCCCTTCCCCAGCCACCTCATTCCCATTCTCTACCTTTTCATTCAGATGTCACTTCCTGATTCTCCTAAGTGAAAGTTATCACACCCTTCTGAGATTTTTTGCAGCATTTTGTCTGCATGAACTTTCTTCATTCTGCCTTGTTATTTGTGTAAATCTCTTACCCTGGTCCCCACTCCATTATCCTCAATGTTGTACACTCTTTTAGGGTAAATACTGTGTCTTACTTTTATCTTGTCTCCCAGTCACCTAATACTACGCCATGTATATACTGTTGGCATTTAACAAAGTTTGTTGGGTTGGATTGAATTAAAAAGAGTATATTCTAGAGCAATTCATTAAAATTCTGACTATTGCTGATTAAATTCATTTCAACTACTTAAGTAGTATCTTGGTTATATAAAACCCCAAAGCGAAAAAACAAATTAATATTTATCTTCAATCTAAAAATGGGTAAAGTTTTCATCTTTAAAAAGTGAAGGTTTAGCACTAGAATTTATTTTATATTTTTATAAGGTATTTAATCTTATTATGGATAGATACTTGTTAAAAATGATCACAATGAACATGGTATTTAATTTGCTTACCTGTAGTATTTAATAAAAGCAGATCCCATCACATCCTGAAAACTGGTAGAATTAAGAAAACAGAAGCAATCATTTTCTGTAAAGCCATGGGAAGACAGGTACCATATACATGGTTTGTAGATTCTTGAATTAGTCCAGACGTTCTGGATATCAACTTGGAATTATGCAAGAAACATATCTAAACTATTGTTGTGGCCCAGCAATTCTGGTCCCAGGTATATACCCCCAAATAGGTAAAAAACAATACCAAGATATTCATAACAGCCCTTTCTGTGGTAGCAAAGAATTGTAGACAACATAGATGCCTGTAAGATGGGTAAATTCCTTTTTTTTTAAAATAGTATATGAATTGATGCAGTATTGTGGTAGAGTAAGAAATAATCAATATGAGGAATTCTGAGAATGTGGATTTTTCCTAAAGGAGTGATTTTAACTTAAACAAAACATTTACTCTGCATTTATGCCAGCACTGAATAATTGAGTTGAATTCTATGTCAATATGATGTTTTACTAATAAAATTTTGTTGTCTTAGGCCTATTGAAAGATTGAGAAGAGGTTTCATATGTATCTCCCAGTTAACTTTCGAACTATGTATACATCTATTTGCCATACCAGTCTCTTCTCTGAATTTCATGATTAAATTTTTGTATGTCTTTCTTTTTCCCCCTCCCTCATATCTGCTTTATAGCATCAAATTCATTTACTAATACTATACTAATAAAAATATATTCTGTACCTACTTCTCTCCTTAATGTTTTAATTACTATGGACTATAATTAATCTGTTCCCAAGAATGAAACAGTTTATGATAGCTTCTGTCTTTTTCCTCAAGTTGTATATGCATATTTATAATACTTTGTGAACTTTAGAACAAACAGGCCAGGTCAATTAATTGACTAACAGTTATAGAATGTCCCTTGATTTCTTATACTTGAAGCCTTATAGATTTGGAGCTGGGAGGGACTTCTGAGGTAGTCTATTCCCACCTCCTCATTTTACTAGGGAGAAAACAGGCCCAGAAACAGTGAAGCTCAGGATTATCTAAGTAATATGTAGAATTACTATTTGTATCCAGTTCCTCAGACTCTAACCTTAGCACTTTTCTTACTGTACCCTGCTGCCTCTCAAAAGTAATGCATGATTTAAACAGAGAGCCAAGGGAGTGGTGCAACCTAGCCCATATTGCAGATAGAACTGTTAATGATGTTTTGTTCTGAGTTGTGCTTTTGTTACAGTTGGGCCAAGTTGAATAGGATGTAGTTTCAAAAGTGAATATGAATGTTTCTGTCAACATATTTTTAGTTAGAACCTAGGTTTGATTGACTTTGGTTTTACCATTTCTGCAATTGGAGGTTTGAGTAGTTAAACTGTAGATAATATATTTTAAAAGGAAGGATGTAGAATTGCCGGGGGGGAGATAAAAAGCTAAACCAAAATTATGACACGTAGCTTTTTTTTCGATGGTAAGTTTCAATACAGATGAAAATAAAGTGACAAGCTGTTTCAAAAAGAAATTTCAAGTATTTGTAGGCTTCCCAGTGAAAGATCTGAAACTGAAGATGTGATCTTCATTGGTAAATGAAAAAGATTGGTAAATCCAAAAGATTTGAGTGTCAAATTAGTCATCCAAGGAAGATTTGAG